CAAGTGATCCAAGTGATTCTTTTGGTCATAAATAATCTTCCGGTCATCTTTCGTCGCTGCGTTTTCAAACTTGAGCACTTCGAGGTAAAGCCATCGTCGACTGTCCTTGCGGTAGCTCCTGATGACCGCTGTCACCAGAAAGTGAATACTGTCTGTTCTTCGTCTGGTCACAGTCTTGTCAAGATATCAGCTTCGTAGCGTTTCTTTCCTGGGGAAGATCTGATATTTCTGTCGTAACACAGGACTACGTCTCCTTCCTGTTGACGTCGAGTGATTCAGCCGCCGAATCGATTATGTATTCGTTAGAAAGCGATGCGATTACAGAACAGCTCCTGATCTCGGGAGATCGTGTCGTCGTCCACAGAAGCGAATCAGCTATGACAGTCACGACAGTTCGCACCCCGTTTCGCCCATGCGTCCTGAGGCACGCTTCGCCGTTTGTGGCTGATGTGCACGTGATTGATTTGGCATGTGAAGTGACCTACTGGAATCGTCCACATCTGCTGATTGGTGGGACGAGAAGGACACATCGCCTCGATGATGACGAGGTCGTGCGTGTCACAAAACTCTAACAGGCCGTGGCCGTTGTCTTCGGTAACACCCTTGCCATGTCAATTTAGCAAATGAGATGAGCTGTCATGATCAGCGTTGGACTAGGTGTTGAGGTCGTTAGCAACGATCGACATTTGATGTCACGTAGAAAGAGCCAAGAACTCCGTGAAGGTAGGCGCAGAACCGAGTGTTCTTCTGGTCCTCTGCGACGGTTTCACTGTGATACGCGGTGGCAGAGTGGGGAGGGGGAGAAAAAATGGGCAAATGGTGACAGTCAGTCGTGTACTCAACGGATATCGATGAGTTTACAACTGGGATGGGGGAGGAGACCAGAACCGTGATTCCGGCTCGACGACCAGAGTTGTGATTTGTGATTACCAGACCAGTAGAACTACTACCGCGTCCTACCTCAAGACGCTTGTGTCGGTCGTCTGATAGGCAGCAGAGATCTTTGAGAATCATAGAATGTACCGCGCTGTGCGAGTATAGCGTCGTACAATTTCCCAGCATCGTTCAACGTCTCCTTGTTTCAAGAGGATACACGAAGCTTCTTCTTACTGTAGTTGAGTTTGGTAGAAACGAATCAACCGCCTAGCCTCATTGATGTAAACGGCTCATCGCATAAACGCCTCAACGAAATCACAAAGCAGCCGGTCGCTGTCATGAACAGTGGACCGTTCGAGCAGTAGTACATGTGATGGAAAAAACACATGAAGCAGTTCAACATCACTGGTGTACAACTGAAGCTATTGTCTTTTAAATGAGGCACGCACTCATAATGAGGCTGAGAGCTGGTTCATACCGTATATTCTATGAAAGTAGAGCATCGTATTAGTGACGGCCTTCGTTGGGCTTTCGTAATGAGTGTCATTCGCAACAGCCTTGCTACAGAATGGTTTTGATACTGACCCGCGGGTTTGACGCTGCTGATGCGCAAGAACTACTTCATGGGAAATTAAACAAACGGCTCCACCCTGCATGCCTGCCACGTAGCTTCGATATCGCCTTTAACGTAAGACACTCGCGCCAATGGCACAGACCCGCTGGGTCAACTAGAACTACTTCATGGGAAGTTAAACGAATGGTTCAACCCTGTATACTTGCCACATAGCTGTCGCATCGCCTTTACATAGGGCACTCCTGTCTGATGATACAGAAACCATAAGTTCTATGAAAAGCGAAAGTGCTACAAATGTAATAGCCTGCAAATCAGTGAATTGCATTAAACGACGAAATTTCATTATCCTGCAATCAAGAACTGAGCTCTACAAAAATGCAGTAGTACACTCACTTTATCTGTGCCCTCAAGTATCCTCCTGGCCAAAAGTGTTGTCTCATAGTTCCTACAGAATTACGTAATAATTCATTTGGTGTTTGCCTTTGTAGGCATTCGGGTGCTGAAACATGATAGAAATATCCCCCTGCAGGGCATCAATAAACACTGAATACCGTGATGACCCTGAAACCGCTGGAAAACCAAACAGCGCTGACAGAATGCTTAATGCTGTATAGACATGTCTGCCAAAAACTCTTCGGTAACTAGCTCAGACTGACAGGTTCGTTCCACAGTTGGTATCAATTCCAAGAAAGCCATTTCGTCGTTTGTTTCGACAGGAAAGAACATTTCGCCTAACGGGTTAAACTGAGACGTCCGAAGAACGGAACGCGAAACAGTCATTGGATCGAAAATACAATGTTACACGCCACGTGACCCTCAAGAAATCTAGCGTAATAATATTTTTGGAAGTTGTGCTGCATTTTGCCGC